CCCTAGTACTATGAATAACATATCAGGGAGTGCCCCCCAAACTGGAGTTTCACCGACAAGGAGTATATATGAGGACACACAAAAGCGCAGCACCTACGTTTAAGTTCTGGATTACAGGCAGGCACTGTGCTTCGTGACCTATAGATAATGACTGTACTGTCAGATTGAAATAGCAGGTGTTCAAGCTGATGCTTTATAAGACTTCAAATATACACTCCGTGGGTGAACGTGAAAAATCTATTGACAATGTAACAATAAGTCAACAACAACTGTAAACAACACAATCAAGATCCCGGCTTGACGGCTCATAACAACAAATAAAACAACATAGTGAGCAAACAAACCACATCACAACAACTTCATTCCTCTTCTTCTTCCTCCTCCATTGCTTCCTTTTTCACCTTCTTATCCTTCTTCTTTTTCTTTTTCTCAGATTTTGGAACAGCTTCAGGCTCTTCGCCTTCTTCCTCAACCTACAAATGTTCGAAGATGAAATTCGTTGTCTTCATTTGATCAACTGAATGAAAACTCCAATGTACCTTAACCCTTTTCGATGAAGGCTCCTCCTCTTCATCCTCGAACCGTCGCTTCACGGGCTTCTTGGGAACATCGTTAGCAGCGTCATATTCAAATGTTTCGCTAAAAAGATACGGTTGTGCGTGGAATACACTATGATGAAGTTTGAAATAGCAACTTGAACCGCTAGTACCTCTTAAAGTGATATTTCTCATGCTTGTGAGAGCCACCACTTATTTTCTTCGGTCCACGTTCTTGTTCTCCACGGAGAACAGCTTCCAGACCTGCTCTGCACTCCATTCCCACCTCAGCTCCCCTCGAATCATCTGCCAAGGCATCTATGCGAGTTGCGAGAGCACATTTTGCAGCAAGTTTACGGGCCATCTAGAGAGAGCATGTACATAAAACCTATACACAAATAAATTGGAGCGGAAGTAAATGATGATGACAAAAACAAAACAATTAACTATTTCAGAAACAGAAAATCAAAGAAAAACTTACTTTTCCCTTCAGCTTCGCTGGAGCTTGAGTGATCAGTTGGGCATGATATATAAGACCATACTTGGGGGTATCCTTTTTGGTTTTGAGGGCACGAAACAGGGCCTGAATTAGTGAAATCATCAAACAGAAGAAATTTTTTAGGCTTTGGAAGCCCAATCTCACCTTTTCAGCGCCAAGAATTTGAACCGTAGAAGCGGGTGCTTTAGCTAATGAAACGAGAGATCCAGCGTGTGAGATGAGCCGCGCTCCAACGAGTTCTCCAAGAAGGCATGTTAAATTTGGTGCGAGCGCAGTCATCCGATTTTTGAGGTAGTCGAAGAGTTGAGCCCTAAAGCCGGCATTACATATTGTTGAAAACTGAGAACAACAAATGCAACGAAATCCTCACCTGTACTGAGAAAGATCGATTATCTGATCACACAATCCACTGATATGAATGAGATCTAATTCAGAGATATCCGTACCCATCGAGATTTCGGCTTCCTCTTTCACCTTGGCTTCTAATTCTTCAGGGAGAATCGCCGAAAGATCGACGTTAATAGCATTTTGTCGCATACCGATAGCTTTGATTACCTAAACAATAGATAATTGGTAAAGTAAATAATTCTCAAAAGCGAAACACAACGATACAATTAAAGATATCTAACTTTTGCGAAGGCTTGATGATCCTGAATTATTTTTCCCAATTCTGGGAAATGCCATCCGTACCACTCCCTGCATCTCATCACATAATTATTCAATTCCTTGTCCAAGTCGTCCAAAAGAGAAACAGCCTGAAAATGAGAAAATTGAAAAGCTGATATAAAATTTTCGATCTGTAACCTAAAGATTGTTTACCATACCTGCACAATCATCGTGTCTATCTTTTCTGGATTGAATTTCACTTTGTACCTGCCAAGAGAGTGGGCAACGGCTAAATTCATGGCGCTTAACTCCGTCTTGTGTTCATCCAGTAACGACTTCAATATTCGCTCGAATACTTCGCATCAGTTCGGCCACCGCAGGGGTATGCACACATGGGACATCCAGCTTCTCCTGAATTTCAGAGTTTAGTTGCGTTAATAGGAGGCTGTGTGAACGAAAAATGTACCACACATAGACATGAACTTTGCGACAAACACGCTTGGCATGTCGAATTCCTGTACTTGCTCAATCAAAAATCAAAATGGAGGTTAGGGTCTGATGAGCAAGAACCTAACAAAGAAAAAGCCCCCGCAAGTCTACGTCTAGAAATATTAGAAGTCAAGAGTTATTCCAGTTCAAAAAGGAACAATTGAGTTGTGTCTATCAAATGATGGATTGTACAACTTTTTATTGAATTGGTGGCTCCTTCTGCCTTGCTCCGAGGTCGTGCCTTCTCCAAAAGGCAGCGGCTAGGATCCACAGAGAGTTTATGCCTACATAGGGTTTCCTAGCACTTTAAGGTAAAGGTCGTTACTAGAGAGAGATTGCGCGCGATGGTCTCTGGAGTGAGGAACGTTTGTATGAATGCGCGGACGAGGATGGTAATGTTCGCTAGTAGGGAAGAGGATGTTTGCCGCAAACGGAAAGAGTATCATTGTGTCATTGCGGATTAACTTTCTCCCCTAATGGGCTCAGCCCTAGTGTTGAGCTGGTTTCTGAATCCAGAAATGTTAGCGGAGCATCACCCCCTCACGAGGCCACGTGGCGCGTGGAACGAATATTAACAATTGATTGGCTTTTCAAAGAGAAGTGAGGATTGGGGATAGAGAGGAACACTGACACATATGGATGATGGCGTTGTGGTGGTCTTCCTGAAGGCTGACACCTATTATTTTGGGGTAACTTCGCTTGAGTCAGAACAGAACAAGCATTTTCATTACTAGTAGGTATGGAGAAAGCAATAATTCGCGAAAAATGGCGCAATGTGGCTCGGGGGGGGGGGGCACCTCGCAACATCGCGTCAAAATCACGGAAACGCTCCGTTTTAGGACTAAGCTTTTGAAGAGGAGAGGAACTCCGGTGTACGGAAGCAATTTTCGTATTCTCCGGAGTTCGTCCCTGCTGTTTAGGCTTAGTCCTAGATGACTTTTCTCAGAGTGCCCCCCCGAGCCACATTGCGCCCAAAAAATTAACAGTTGTTTCCAAATAAAAACATAACAAGAATGACATAATTCAGCAAACCTTGATCAAATTTCCTAGTTTGGCGTCGGCGACAGCGAGTTGCTCATTTTCACTGACTTTTCCTTTGAGCAATTTCTTCAAAGTTTTATTCATTTTTCCTTCTTGCAAAGCACATGTACTCTCTACGGCATCCGCTGTGCTTTTGAACTTCTTGAATGCGATCAATTGCAAGCTGAACGAATTATAATCGATGTCATTCCATGTGGATAGGATAACTAGGGTTCTTCTCACTTTTCTTGGGCTTTTTCTGCCGTGTTGAATTCTTCATATATATTATCGACGTTTTTCAACTTCTTGTCGCTCAGTAGTTTAAACATGGCATATCCTGCCGCTGTTTCAAATAACACCAGCATTTTACCCTATAAAAATATAATTAAATTCACTAAAAATCGCAAGATTTCATATCGGCAGAACATCCGATGGCGAAAGATTCACGAGCATAAAAAGAAGGAAAGAAAACCGAAGAAGAGGAATATAAAAATGAGAAATATGCGACACCCAGGGAACTGCGTGGATCCCGCTATGTAGCGCAACGGCACGCGATGGACGCGTCAATGTCAAAGGGGCTGCCACGAAATGAACCCGAGTATGAAATGAGGGCAAATCCCAAGCACGGATTCCCTTTGAGATCTTGCTGAGTTGCGAATCCTGCATCTTGGTTTGCGGAAAATTGAGATGTGGGATTTGTTTATTTGGTTCCTGTGGGATACTATGAGGGGGCAAAGAAGTTTGAAAAGTGTTCACTTTAGGTTTCCTCATCCGTAGTATGGAATTACCCCATGAGTAGCTAAAGAATTTCATGACTCGCAGGAATCGCTAAAAATGTAAGAGCCAGCACATCACTTTATTTGTCCACCTCTGGGGAGAATTGTTTCTCCCACTGATTTATTTTACTCACCACTTTATTCTTCAGATTTGTTTTTGATATTTCAAAGGTAAAGGCGCCCTGTATGGTTTGTACCCCCCCAACTCATATTCGACTCTATATTTTTCTTTGAATGAAGATCTTAACTTCTTCGGACCTATTGTAAACATGACCTGTCTCGCTAACATAGTATACTGGTCCGGGGTGGCAGGTAAAAGCTCGTAGGATCGGTTCCTTTGCAAATTGGTTGCTTTGCTTTTGTCTCTAGAAGTGTTGCGGACAAAAGCAAAGCAACCAATTTGCAAAGGAACCGATCCTACGAGCTTTTACCTGCCACCCCGGACCATCACCACTGAGCTATTACGCTTCATAACTCCGTTCGGAGAGTCGTTTAGCAGATTTGGAAGGCAGATTCGAAATCAGCGTGTCAGAATGCATAGAGTGGTATACATCTCATGTAGAACGGCCATGGCGACCTGAAGGACACTTCCTTGTTAGTCATCAGGCGGTCCTATTCGCAAAGTGTGCCGGTACTGTGTCGCCAACTTC